AGAAAAATTCTCTCAATCATAACAAATAGAAATACCAGTAGTAGAGACAACAAGGAGAGAAAACGACGAGCTAGTGTAATAATGGAAAGAGGTTCTATAAAAAACAATGCCAGAAGGATTAGAAAATTTAGTAGAATGGGATTAATAGTAAGGAGCATTCAGATTACCGTAAGGTATGAATAGAGGAATGTTAGGAAAAGCATCTGAAAGCAGGAAACTCATGACATAAGTCTTAGAGAAAAGAGGAATAATAGGACCAAAGCAAAGAAAGAATGGTAAAGCCAGAGGAGTAGATGGCACGCAACTAATCAGGTAAGAATTAATTGAATACGTACCCACTAACAAGCAACGCAAAGACAACCAATAGAGAAACGCATAAACAGATAACAAATATCAGCAAGAAAGACTGTTTAGCACTTCCCGAAGCGATTATTACGAGAGAACGTTCGATAAAGGAACATTCCTAAGGACAAATATAGGCGAACACCTATACGCTGATATTGAGTAAATGATAGGACTATAAATAGTCGACTAAGAAATCCCAGACACAGCAGTTGAAATCAAGCTGATTAAAACAGTAAGTACAAAGAAAGGTAATGACATCTTGATAAAACATGGAGCATATTTCCTAGGTACCTTCCTTTTATAGAAAGAAAAAGTATGCTACTTGCTAAAACTTATCTGCAAAGCGCTAATATGGGGAATGAATGTCTCCTAGTTAGAAAAAGAGATATATAGGGGTAGCAATTTATGCCTAAACTATGCATGGGGTCTCTGCATTCATCCGGAATGTAACTGCTCACACGACAGAGACTACTAAGGAATCTTATTCAGGTATGTGTAAACCAGAAATAGATATAGCCAAAGGAGTCACGGTGGATAATTTGTCAAAATAGAAGACTAATAAACTGAGATAGGACAAATCGTCCAAATAGACAAACAAAGACTTAACTTCGCACTAAGAAAGGTAAACTACTTCTAGGCTAATAGAAGTGGAAGAACTATGATATATTTAGGAGATTATAGCAGAATTTTACATGGTTTATGCATCAGTAGCGGCATGAACGAACAACAGGGAGGAATGTTACCATCTGAAATGAGAGAAAAGAAGAATTGTGTGAGAATCATAAGATAATACCTCATGGGATAAGCACACATGGACGACCTTGCAGTTAGATACGCTTTCATACAAATCTTCCACGACAAAAGAGTAATGACATAAACATGGTATGCACCAACTAGTCATCAAGAAAAAGATGCAATTATGGGTCTTGATGACAAAATGGAAGACTGGACATAAAAGGCAAGAGAATAATACATGATAGATAATAGATCAATAGCAAATAACATATAAGCAATGACACCAACATAATTCTTCTAATCAAACAAATGGACAGTGTATAAAAAGGCTCAATTTATATACAACCCTGACTTAAATGAGAGAACACACCACCTGAGGTTGAGAGGAAACTCAGCACCATACTCAAACTAAGCATACGATAGTATCTACAATAAATGTGAAAACAGTATGATAGAAAAGAGTAGAGAAATGATATTCGATGACACTGAAGTTATGTATTATGATCTGAACTAACCAATTGAAACTATGAAATAATATGTTAGTAACAGACGGTTCTGGGAAGAACAATAAGAAACTGCTAAACCCTATGGACAATTCGTGAGAAAATAACTAGGAACCTATGAAAAGGATTCTAAAAGAAAGTATTATGATGAATACTTCCCTATGCTTAGATCAACACAAATATCATCAATGGATGAAGCGAGCATTTTAGTATAAGCTCTTAAAAGAGGCTTATTAAGCACTAAAGATGCAGATATTGCCAATAATTACCAAGGTAAGTACCACTTCGACATGACATCAGAAATACCGGCACCAGGTATCCAAAACATATCACAAGGAGCGAGAAGCTTCGACATCGAGAGAGATGTCACAATAATCTCGAAAAGAGATTAAACTAGGAAAATTATATTGAGGGAAATGGTAAGATTAGCCCAATAATTAGAAAACCTCCCTATACAAGACAAAGATCTATAAAGAATCATTCATAGAGAAGAAGGTAAGTACTACTTATAAAGAATAGATATCTTTAAAAGTCTACTAAGCCTGGAGGATGCAGGCTTATAAGACAGTATAAGTACTTTGATGGGAAGAATGAATGAAGAAAATACTCCAGGATTACAAGAGATGAGAAGAAAATAAGGCCTCTCAGTATAAGATATTAAGAAATATCTAGAAGATCCTAACCTCCTAAGAGCTTTCTGCTATGTAGCTGAAGAACAATGTACCCAAGAAAATGTAGCTGATCATGGAACCAATTGGGTTATAGGAAATATAATGATTGTTAGAATTAACAAAGGAGGACAATATGGAGTATTATATGTGGCAGAAATTGACTTTGAAGAGATCATTTAAGACATATCTGGACATTTTATGAGTAGGTTTAGTGAAGAAGAGCATAAGCAATACAAAGATGAAAAGGGTAAAATCACTGAGGAAGAAAGGTAGCAATTTGTTTCGAAGTTTAGAGTAACAGAAAAAGAATGTGAAGGATATAAAGATGACCTCGAAAAAATATACAGCACCTTCTATACTAAAGAATCGCTCTCTAGTACTACAATAAAATAAATGATGACAATCTCTAAGCTAGAAGTGCAATAAAATGAAACAAATCAGATGATCAAATAGAAAGAAAACGAAATAATCGACGCTGCTATCTTAGAATAGAAGATACTGAGAATAAGAAAATAGAGATACATTCAAGAAGCAGAAAATAAGAAATAATTATTCCGAAATATTAGGGTAGAAGTGCCAGAAAGATAATCGAATAAAGAAGCAGAAGATTATAAAGAAGAAAGAGATAGAGAAATAAACGCACAAGACTAAGAGGAACGCCCTAAATATTATAACTCAGGAATAAAGAGACAACCAACGATCATCGACAACCAATTCGAACAAAGAAAGATCACGAACTACATTAAAGTAGGAAGAGCTTTAATATATGAAGAAGAAATAAACAAGAGGAATTAAGCCACTAAACCAAATGTAAGTCCATAATAGGTAGTAAGTCAACAAATTGAAGCACAAGATGTACAAATGAGTTCAAATGAAATACCATTAAGTCAAAATAAATCGCTTCAAGACACTTCCAACGCACTAAACCAAAGTTTCAGAAGTGAAAATGAAAGAATTAGAGTTAATGTTATTTAGATCAAGAAAGATAAAATATTGGCAATAGCAGAAGCAGAACAAATGTAAAAAGACTTAAAAATGATAAACAATGGTGAAGAAGATAAAGAACCACCTGATGTCGGTGAGAAAAAGAAGCGTGGAAGATAGAATAGCACAATGAATCCCGAAAGTGGAAGTAGAAAGCCTCAAATCCCTAGATATGCGAAAAAATAAACTCACAAATCCCCTGCCAGCTAAAGTAAGTAAAAATCCTCACTAAGTAGAAGCAGAGAAAGAGACTAACGTGAAGGAAGTATAGCTACAAGAACAAGAAGAAGTAGTACCGCCGCAGACCTGTAATTCAGAAACGAAAGACTCTCCGAGTAGGTGAATTAAGATCACTCAAATACTCAAGTCATGGAGAGGAAGGGCGATGTTAATAATCCTACTTCTAAAACGAGGTTGCGGAAAGACCGTAGATCTTAGTCTGTGTCAGACCAAGATTCACAAAACTCTTCCCAAAACAACCAATGATGAACTTAAATCTGGTAGAGCTCCTAGCCTAAGCCCGTGATCAATTACTATAATTATGAACAAATAAACAAAGATTTGTACGTAAAGTACTATCAGTCATCCCAAGAAGATACTCAAGCTCGAGAGTATGCCTATATGGTATTTTAGAGCAAGGTACCTACTACTAATAGCGCATTAGTAGCAGGTACAAACCTTCACTAAATTTAAACACCCATCCACTTTAATGAAGTAATAGTACTACTAAGGAAAATGATAACAATTACCCTTTTTTACATTATGTTATAGACCAGAACTTTTAAAGAGTACGTTACTACTATATGGTAACTGCGCGCATGCCACAGCTATTACGGCTATCTAATTGAGGGTAGTGATCGGATAGGGAAGATGGAGCACCACCATGATATCCTACATTTAATGTGGAAGCAGGGCACTAGTTCTTTGCCAAAAGAACAGAAAGTGTCGACGGTGTCTCTATCGCGACATGTAAGATTATATAATATTCACTTCGTCATTTATATATGTACCATTATGAGAACAATAGAAATTGGTGAAAATGAGAGTGAAGTCAAATAGAAAATGTACTACTACTTACAAAGATTACTCACACTCGAGGATATGAAATTCAAAGAATCTGTCTATAAGCAAGAAATGATCTTAAACTAGTATTATTGTAGTATAAAACTATTGAGACGAGCTCCTAAACCATAAGCAATAAAAAGACTTATCACAGCTATCAACAAACTGGTAGGAAATTTGCTAAATCCCAAAAGTGATAATGTTACACTA